AATTAAAAAATTTTTGTTCAGAATAAAATCATTAAGTGTAATAATAAAAATTTGTTTAAATTTAATAAAAATTTAATTATATATAGAAATCATTATAAAGAATAAATTTACTTAATACATAAAAGTTGTTTTATTAATAAAATAAAAAGTTTAATATATGACAACTATTTCCATTTAATTATAATAATTCTTAGGTGAACCTTCATTTATTGGGGGGGCTGTATATTTGCCTACGTAATTTTTCTGCAATTCAATCAATCGTCATACAACTCGTTCATCACTGATTCCCACGGTTCTTACTACAGTATTCATTATGAGTAGGGCATCACGTCAAATCTTGATTTTTAAATACAGTAGTAGTAATATACCGGGACTATTTTTTCTGGCGTGACCATAATGAATTCGACCAACGAGCGAAAAGATGACATTTTCATGCGCCCTTGTGACACACCACGTATTGAGTGGATTTGTCTAATTTAGATAAATTATTTTATATAATAAGACAATGACGTAAATTAAAATTACTATAAAGGTGCAACCTGTCATGTTTCTTTTTAAATCAACGTGAGACGATGGATATTACCAACGCTCAAAATACATCTGTTGAAAATAGTAAAAACCCTTCTTTTGAAGAAAATGACCCTAATGTTGTGAACTTAACTAAAAAGTATCAGATACAAGGTATCGAGGGTATCGCCTTTTTTTTTTCTGAGTACTATTAAATATTGAATTCACTAAATTTAAATTTTCAGAGGAAGATTTGTATTCACCTGACGAAGATGATAGTGATTCTGAAGAATCCAAAACGTTGACGATTAAGCATAGCATCCGTATTGTATCTTATTATATCTTATTGATTCTTATTTAACAGGTTTTGGAGAAAAATCACTAATTACTTGCGTTTTATTTTAACATTAAGTTTCTCTTAAGAGATATTACGAATACACTCATAAATTTCCTGACCCCAAGTATATGTTCGATCTTAAAGCAAAAGGGCTCACTACTCCTGAAAAATTCGTTGCATGGTGGAATGGGAATAATCCTGATTTTCAAATTACAGTTGATTCAATCGAGGAATGGACCTATCGCGAAGATGAGAACCCCTCCCGCTATAATTGTCATTGGGGAGAGTATGGAGATTAGGTATAGCGTAACATATGCCAGAATTCGAGCTTTTTTTTTAACGAAGCAATATGAATGAAGTATTATTTTATTATGTCATAAGCGATATATATGAAGTACTTTTTAAATAAAGAATTAGTGTTCGATTAAAACACGAAAGATTAATCTGCCATGTAAAAATGATTCTGTTAAGGATCATTCTGGTATGTTGGTTGAAAGTACCGATAGAGATTACTTTCATCAAGCGAAATATCTAGTGGTCGACCGTGTTGATAGCCGAGACGAAGAGTCATATTAGTAATGCCTTTCGCTTCTTTCCTGAGAAGACTGACATACGCTTGTTTTTCAGATGGCAACCTTTCATCGAAACATTCTATTTAGATAATATTAGTTATTAGATGTATACGTGGAATATTGTAAATGCATAACTAAATTACAAGCCTTTAAGCTGGATTGTTTGAACATTGTTTGTAATGCCTATTCGCCTCCCGATTACACGTAATCCAACTGACGCTCTCATGTATCGATTGTTAGTGATTCTGTTTCGAATCATTCTCCATCTTGAAATTGATTTGAAAACGATTATCCCATTATCATATTCGCTGAGGAAACGACCGGTCTCTGAAGCTTGTTTCAATTCTCTCTCTAGAACTTCAATATCACGACCATAGGTCCAGATTTTCTCACATAATTGACCGTAGTAGTATTTACTTATCTTGACCTCGCAGGTTCCTATAAAAATAAATAACGTGAATTTTTAAAGAAATATTTGTGTGGAAATTATACAATAACGTTGATACCGTACTTCCTCTAAAAACTCGCATTCGTAAATTTTCCTGTATAAAGATCCAGCCACGCCATATGCAATACCAGATACTTCCAATTAACATTGAAGGCACTGTAAATATCCAGAAAAAAACACACCCAGTCACCAAAAGGACCAAGACGATAAGGAAAGTCACGATAAATAAACACATGACAAAGTGATAATAATCAAATTCCAGAGTTTTGGTTTTCATCAAGAAAATTCACGAAAATAAATATAATTAATTAAACTGTTGGTTCACAGTTGATCGAAACTAACTGATGGAAACGTCACGTAAAGGTTCACAGTTGATTGACACATCACGTAAAGGTTCACAGTTGATTAACACTAACTGATGATAAACGTCACGTAAAGGTTCACAGTTGATTAACACTAACTGATGATAAATGTCACATGAAAAGTGTCTACTGATGATATAGGTTGTAATTCATCAAATAGTCAAATAGTATATTTTATATTCAATTCCTAGTTCTTTTTTAGTATTTTTAGAATTACTACATATGGGTCTTCATAATAACATAGTTTGATAAGAACAATTTAGTTTCCTTCACATTATTATTTGGATCTCTTCGATAAAAGAATTATTTTATCGTGCTGCTCTTTGCACTTCTATTGCAAAGCCAGATTCAATAACTACTTTGCATCTTAATTTGTTATGAATCTATTTCAATAAGTTCATTGAAAATATAAAAAGAGCTTGTATGTAAAATTCTAAATTTAAATGGGAAATGTTTTATTTGATGTTTTTCCTATTAATTGTAATCAATTTCAATAAACAATTTCCATTGGGACCAGCGATAAGCAATTAAAAATTGCAATTAAATTGGACTGTTAAATCAATAATTGATATTAGTAATGTCGTTACAATTAATAATTGAATTGGCAATGTCACTACATTTATAATTGTGTATTGGTGATGTCGTTACAATCAATAGATATTATAATCAATAGTGCAATAATTGCAATAATTAGTAATTTTATTATTTAGTTTATGCCAATTCTTTCTTTTCAATTTCATCATAAACAGACTGTAAAAGTCTTCTGTTTCAAAAACAATCATTAAATTTTAAAATAAAATCATCTATAATGTACTTAGAAATATTTTTTTCCTTTGATCAGTAATAACTAGCTTTGCCTGATTAAAAAATTGCTCCATTAAGTTTGAAATAAAAGAAATAAATTTCAAATTAAGATACTCGAATAAGTGAGATCTCTTCAAAACTCTTTTAACAAAAGACTCTGGTTCTTTCATTTTTTCTGCTTCTATTTCCAAATGTTTTATAGCTATTATTTCTTCTGTTGTTAATTTTTCATTTTCTGTTATTACTTTACAAATTTAAAATTCAAATAAAAGATTGCATACAATCATAGTATGCTCACATAAATATTTTCTAACAATTGAATATTTATCAATTAAGGCATCAAATAGATGATATACAGTAAAAAGATCAATGCTATCTTCTTGAATTTTCTTGGATATCAATTCAAAGTCAACAAGTTTTTCAAATAATCTATTGAGAGAATTTTGTTCACATCTAGAAGGAATAAACTCAAGCAATTTTTTATCTTCTTTATCCAAATAAAAAATCAATTCAAAGAATCTTAAAATTATTGCAAAAGTAGATGATTATCTAGTTTCGTTTCTCTTGATAGACTGGAAATTATAAGTATAGTACAATTTGGCTGTTTGTTTTATAATTAAAGTTCATGATTAATTTATTTATATTTCTAACAAAATATAATATCCTTCAAGAAAGCACTTTATGGCTAAATTAATCTATGACTTGCATATTCAATAATTTAGCAAGAGTCTTATTTGTGTTGCAATTGTTTCCAACTAAAAATAATAAACAATCTAATTGAAAAGTAATTTTGTAGTACTTCAAAGTAGAGATAATAAACTGCTTGTAAACTTTAGAGATTAAAATATAACTCTAAACAATATTTTCATAATAATTAGAAATTAATTGAAATGCAAATAACAATAATTAAAATTTCTTTTTTTTATTATAATAATATATAAATAAGACAATATAATAATTACTTTCTTCTTTTTATCTATTTTTTTTTTTTTTTTTTTTTTTTTTTTTTTTTTTTTTTTTTTATGGGGGGGGGTTTTGTTTTTTTTTTTTTTGGTTTGATTTTTTGTGTGTTGTAATTTTTTGTTTTCGACTATGTGCCTCC